AGGTTGTGCCCTGTACGAGTAAGGAAGAAGTCGTAGGGAGTAAGAGGAGGAGAAAACAAATGAAGAAGCAGCGGATGTTGTGTCGACCAGAGCGAGAGAAGAAAAGGACGGAGTAGAGATTGTCTCTAACTTGTGTTGACGTCGGGCCCAAGTAAAAGGAGGAAGAAGATCGTGTGGTTTACATGCAGAGGAAGACGAGAAATTTTGCACACATGCTATGTACCTCAAGCCCTAACCGATCAGTTAATGGAAAAAGGTCACGGCTTAGAGCGCTGCCACCATACAAAGCAGAGGAGGAAGGAGAATCTATGTTGGACTCACACAGAGGAAGAGGAAGAGGAAAAAAACGCAGTATTGTCTGCGTCGAGTTGTGCGGTGTTGTCTGCATCGAACCGTGCGGAGAATAAGAGGGTAGCGGCATTGTTTACACGAGGGAGAAGAAGATGAGTAGGCTCCCTTTGCGATTGCTGAGCTCGAGCGTGAGATAGCGCAGAGGCCAATCAAAACTTATAAGGTATGTTTAATTTTACTATATAAATAAAATATATGTGGGAAGTGATTAATAACAATATTTATGGGTAGTTTTATTTAAAAATAAGGACTAATAATTAATGGTTTCATATGAGATGAAGTTAGAGGAGAGCCTACGAGTTAGAAGGAGGATCTATCTAAGCAACTTATAACGTAAATATTAATGGTATATTGTTACTAGAACAAATAGTATAATTATTTAAATTCATGTTATTTATTTTTATATAATCAGAAGGGGGTAGAAGGTTGATAAATTCTCAAATTTTGAGGAATACTAAGAACATTAAGGTCAGTAGAGGTTAGTGTTTTTAATCATTCTTACATCTTTAAATAAGCTAACTACAATTAAGTCTTTCCATTAAAGCAAAGTTCTTATAAGCATATGCAAATTTTATTGGTTTAGGTGCTAGGAAGTGAAGAGAAGTAATAACTTTTTTAGAAGGTTGTGCCCTGTACGAGTAAGGAAGAAGTCGTATGTAGATAAATTTAAATTTAAATTTTATTAAAAATAATTATTTTCTAAGTCAGGGTAAATAACTTTTTTAGATATCTTCTAAGTCAGGGTAAATAATTATTTTCTTATATGTAATAAATTTAAATTTTATTAAAAATAAAAGTTTTTTTAATGTTTTATCCAATTATATTAGTTCATATAAATATTGTAGCTTGAGAATGAAAGGAAATGAAACAAAAAATCGAAAAAGAATGTTCAATGTCCATAAAAGAATCTAATTTAAATGAAATGAAAATTAAATGTTTACTTCATACAGGATTACCACTAGATGGCATTGGCAGGAGATACAATGTACCCATACACGTTAAAGGAAATGATAAAAGTGAGCTTCGGATGCAAATTTGAGGGTACCTTCGGGTACATTTTTTAGGATGTTTTCACACATTTTTTAGGGTGCCTTCGGGCATATTTTATAGTATGAAGCTAGATTTACCATGCTTTTAAGGTATGCGCCTAGGTTGATCCCTAATGCAGATGAGAAGTGCCACTGATTTTTGTCTGGGCTGAGAGATGTGATAGGCTGCTATGAATTTCTTAGAATCAATGATTACACTATTATGGTGGAGAGAGCTAGGAGGATTGAGTTGGATCTGGAGACTACTCAGAGGTAGGATATTCAGAAGAGAAGAAATTTAGTGGGATCCAGGTTTCCTCAGGGCTCTCAAAGGCAATCTTTTCAATTAATTTGTACAAGTGCTAAGAAGGCTAAATCCAGCAACGTTGGCACCCAGTTTAAAGTAAAGAGGTGTGACAAGGGTGGAAGGTCAAACAAGGGTGAGCGTCTGTCTAGATCCAACACATGCTTTTGATGTCACAGCTTAGACACATGGAGAAGAATTGCCCTAAATTAGGTCAGATGACTCTAGCAGATTTGAGGAGCAGTGCTGCACCACCTCAGAGGAGTTAAGGTGGTAGACCGAGGGCAGCTAAATCATCAAGGTCAGTGTCAAACACAGGTCAGACTCAGCAAAATGTTCAGCCCATAGTATATGCATAATCACAAGAGAAAGCTAAAAACTCCTCTGATGTCATCACAAGTATGTTTTCCTTTTAATAATTTTAACTAGTACACTTTAAGCATCATAAAATTCATGTCATGTCATACATAAAATATAATTCATGTCATGTCATACATAAAATATGTAAGAGTTTAAATATATCAATAAGTTGACTCTAAATGTTTAATACGATGATTTTAAATGATATATATCATATATCTTCAAAGTAGGTCGATAAGAGTGTTATTTGCTTTGTGAGCATCACATTCTTTTATAGCTAATGAACTGACTAAAGTGATGCAATTGAATGTTATTTCAATTTATGTGATATTATCAGTTAGAATGTCAAATTGTGTTTTTATGTAAGTTGATCAATCAGGCAAGGTGAAGCTTATGATTGGTGGGAAGGATATTAATGCCCAACTTATTATGTTTCCTTTGATGGAATTCGATGTGATTTAGGAATAGATTGAATGTCTGAAAACTGTCACTATTAATTGCAATAAGAAAACTGTCAAAATAAATGTACCTAGGGAGGCAAAAGTTAAATTTTCTAGTGATAGAGAACTGGCATATATGATAATTAGCTGCATGAAAGCTTGCAAATCATTGAATCATGGAAGTCATGATTTTCTTGCTCAGGTAACAGATACTTCTAAGGAAGTGAATTCTTTGGGTGATATTTCAGTAGTAAGAGAATATCTAGAGGTGTTTCTGATGATTTATCAGGGTTATCATCAGTGCGAGTTAATTTCAGTATTGAACTATTACTAGTTTTTGAGCATGTATACAAGATACCCTACAGAATAGCAGTTAAGAAGTTGCAAGAGCTGAAGAACCAACTGCATGAGTTACTAAATAAGGGATTCATCAGGCCTAGCACCTCACATTGGGGAGCTCCAGTATTATTTACGAAGGATGGGAGCTTAAGGATGTGCATTGACTATAGGGACTTGAATAAACTCACATTTAAAAATAAATATCCAATGCTGAAGATTGACAATTTGTTTGATCAGTTGGAAGAGGCTCAACATTTTTAAAAATTGATCTGAGGTTAGGCTATCATCAATTGAGGATTAAATAAGAAAAAGTAGTGAAGACCGCTTCCAGGAACAAATATGGCCACTATGAATTTGTGGTGATGTTGTTTGAGCTAACAAATGCTCCAGTAGTCATATACTTTATGAACAGGGCCTTCAAACAGTTTCTGAATAATATTATGATCGTCTTTATAGATAATATTCTCGTATATTCGAGAGATGAAGTCAGTCAAGCAAATCATTTACATGTTGTGTTGTAGGTTTTGAGAAAGAATGCACTTTATACCAAATTTTCTAAATGTAAATTTTGGCTTATAAGTGTTGGTTTTCTTGGGCAAATTACCAGTGGAGACGGCATATCTGTTAATCTGAATAAGGTGAAGGCGATTGCAGATTGGCCAAGACCTACTACTGTTACTGAGGTCAAAAGTTTTCTATGTTTGGATGGTCATTACAAGAGGTTTATTGATGGATTTTCACATATTTTTACGTCACTATCAAGGTTGACTCAAAAGACAGTGAAGTTTGACTGGTCAGATCATTGTGAGGATGTTTTTCAGAAGCTGAAGACTTGTTTAATGTCTGCTCCAGTTTTGGTCATTCCTTACGTTTCTAATGGGATTCAGAATTTCAGCTAAGCATCTTTGAGGGGTTTGGGCTATGTACTCATGCAACATTGTAGGGTCATCAATTATGCATCACGACAATTGAAGAATCATGAAAGAAATTGTCCTACGCATGAATTGGAGCTTGTTGTAGTTGTTTTTGCACTCAAGGTCTAAAGGCATTATCTGTATGGAGTTAGATGTAATGTTTTCACTAACTACCAAAGTTTGAAATATATTTTCACTCAGAAAGAGTTGAACCTGAGGCAGAGGAAATGGCTGAAATTTATTAAAGATTATGATTTAAATATTAAGTATCATCAAGGGAAGGCAAATGTTATTCTTGATGGGTAATTTAAATTATTTATTTACTCAGCAGAAGCAGTTAATTAAAGATCTAGAGAGTTTGAGGCTGACTACAGTTGATTATGGTGATGATAGTATACCTCTGTTATATCAATAGACGGCGCAGCCAACTCTAACAGATAGAATTGGAGATTCTTTAGTCGGAGATAGCAGTATTCAGAAAGTTCTGAACCAGGTTCAAGCAGGCAATTTGGAGAGATATGTGCTAGATCAAGATGGTGTATTGAGGTATAAAGGCAAAGTTTATGTTCTAGATATTGAATACTTGAGGAAGGAAATTCTGGAGGAAACACATTTACATGGATATACTATTCACTCGGAGAACAATAAAATGTATCA